GAGAAGAGCGCGACGGTCCACAGCGGAGTGCTGCACTGGCTGCACGGAGGCAGACGGTCGGGGGCGCGCGTCCACCTGGCCACGCCTTCGCCATGAAGGCGCGTGCGCGCATGGGCAGCGGAAAAAATATACAGTAAAGGTCATGAGAGAAATATAAGACATCCACAAGAAAAGTCATCAGAAACTTCAAGTATCAGAAATGCTCAATTTAAAAAAGTCAAAGGCGCAAAAGGCCCAGAAGTGATGAAGAAGACTAGAAATAACAGAATAAATCAGATGTCATCGAATAATATGAGACAAATAGGCCTACATATTTAAAAATGGGGACACGGAACCTTTGCTAAAGGTAAAATGCAAAATAGCTAATTAAACAAAGTGGTAAAATAAACACACAGTGAAATGAGATGAATATATTCAAGATTTTTTATTGTCAATTCACTATATGTGCAGGACATACATAAAAAAATCGAAATACTGTTTCTCTCTCTCCTAATGTTTAATGCCCATACCATTTAAACTAAATAGAATAAAAGTAGAATAAGCAGAATATGAAGACTGAATTAAAGTAATGAGGATAAATTAAATGGTACAACCTAATAGGCTATGATGAGACTTAAAGCCATGTGCAAACAGTGACAGTAGTGTAAATAACAAGAAGACTGTCAGGTGGTCAGCATCACCAGGGGCGTTTGTGATGAGATGCACATGACCAGCAGCAGATATGACGATAAAAAGAACAGTTAGCAGCAGATTTACATATAATATGACAAAAAGGGGGATGTATTTATCTGTAAAATGCTGTTGGGTAGTGATCACTTAAGAATATTAAAAAAACTGATGATACTTAATATTAATAAACTGTTCTTATCAAAATACACAAGTCTTGTATTAGTACTAAACACTTCAAATGAAGACTACATCAGAAAAGCAGTTACGATTGAGTCAGGACCTTTTAAACTTCAGTCTTTTCTGTAGGCACACACTGATATTATTACATTTAGAAGCCTTTCACATCTTCTAAGTGCAAATCTTCTCTTTTAAAGGGTAGAAAATAAACGTTTTCTTATTTAGCTATGGGACAGTTCACCTCACCATCACCTGACTGCAGGCTGTCTGGTAACAAAGAGAACCATGCTGAGTTTGCTCTGATCTTTAATGCTACATTGCCACCTAGTGGCTACTACACTGTGTGGAGAATATCAAACAGAGGAACAGTGAGAATGAAAAGATGAGGGCTGACTAAGACCTGATAGATGCTCAGTGAACAGGCTGCTGTTGCTTAGCATCTACACCAAACAGCAGTCTCTGAGGTGATGGTTCTACTGTTTGGCCTGGCCTCACTGAGATGGTCACACAGCTCCTGTATGGAGGAGAACCATCATGTGAGTTGGAGACTCCCAGTGGTCAGATACAATTAGTGAACCTCATTTTTTCTGAGCCAAACCTCCCACAAAAGACCTTTAACCTGTACCAAATTTCTTAAGTGTTTTTTTTTTACTTGATCAATCTTCTTCTTTCGGCTGTTCCCGTTAGGGGTCGCCACAGCAAATCATCTGTTTCCACCTAACTCTATCCTCGGCATCCTCTACTCTCACCCCAATTAACTTCATTTTTACTTGATCAATACATGTGTAAATAAATAGATGTCAGTGTAATTGTGATTGAAAGTATCACTTAGTTTGGACTCTGCTGGTACTTGGTACAGAGCCTCGCTGGAACACATCCAGAAGGGCCCCCCAGCTTTCCTTCAGTGTGCCAGCTGAGTTTGACCTGTCCTGGACATCATCAGGAAATGCCACAGTAGAGAAACGTGTGCTGTTCTGCAGCAGCGAACAACTGTGTGCGAAACAGTTTCCACTGCTGCAGCTGACATCAGAAAACCTGTAGAGATTTGGCTCCGAGGCCGGACCTACAGCTGGGACCGGTCTGGATCAAATGGTAAAGCTGGCCGAGCTCAAACAGTCAGCTGTGTTATTATAACCACAGAGACTTGGTGCTTAATGACAGGGAGCAAAGAACAGACACACAACATGCATAGTGATACCCAGTGCACAGAAGGCAGCACTCTGTGTTATTATGTCCACCCAGACAGGAGAAGACTAATAACAGCTATCAGGGGGAGAGAGGAGAAAAGAAGTGGGAGGAAAGTGGGGAGATGCTGGAGACCAACAACTTACAGAATCTTCAGTCTGGTCCATGAGTATTTTATGAGCAGCATTGTGAACTCTGGACTTCTCATTCATAGGTTTTATATGTCACACGCATATTATTGCTCAGAAGATTGTTTCAAAAAGCATGAAATGACATGATTGACCTGGAGAACGGAGCACTTCCCTCTCCACCCACAACAGCAGGGCTCAGCCTGAACTTCCTGATCAAACCAAAGGACAGGAAGACAAGTATACTGAGCTTTGTAGGAGGGAAAAAAAAATGCAAAATGAGTTCCTGTAAGGGGAAACTACTGTATGTTGTGGGAAAACAATTACTGCTGCCTGAACATCTATTGCATCTCTGCTGTTAAATCAAGAACTTTCCCATTTGATTGTTTACACAGCCAAACAAAAGCAGCCGATTTCTCTTAACACCTTCAACCACAGAACAGCTTTATTTTTACAGCTTCCTGCCCATGTGTTACACTCTGATCAACTGTTTGGGCTCCTCATCGGGTTTTGCAGAGGGAATCAAACCTCCAGCCCTGGGGGTGCCGCTACCCAGCTCCGCCAGCTAAACCAGCAGAAAGCTCCACACACCATCTGTAAACAATTTCTCCGACTGTGATAACAAGCAGCTGTTTGCAGCCCACAAGCGAGTTTGAGCCCATGGCAGAGATTGGGTCGACTGACGGTCCTGACTGTCGATTCCTGTCCTCTGTAATTTTCCTGAGAGCGACAGCCCACTTGGCAAACTGCCTCTGAGTCTCCATTGGAGCATCTGGTTGGGTTTAATCCCAATTTAACTGTCGTTTCTGCAGCTGCATAGAAAGAAGGAAAACATGAGGTGGTTGTTTGCACTGGATGAGCTTCGTCTTTTGGAACAGAGGCAAACATATTTAAGAGGCTGTGGTACAGCAGCAAACATGAGCTGGAGTCACTGAATAACAGCACAGTCAGGCTGTTAAGAGCCAGATTCATGTTGAAATAAAAAGTCAGAAGTATTAGTTTCCCTCCTTTTATTTAAAGATCTACTCACCAACACTTCATGTCACTTTTGTACCAGAAGTAAAGACCCAATAACTAGAAGAACTCTAGTTTCATACATGACCTCTGGTTTAGAGACATCACACCAAGCCTGACATTGTACAGCACTGTTAGCATGTGAACACACTAAACACTTGTTTCAGATGACATCCATAGGCAGGAAGCGGACATCCAAGTATTGTACTGAATTTCACAAACGCTATGACGGCTTGCCAGACGGCTTCCAGGACAAGATTGGGAAACCTGCGAAGAGAAACGCCGTTCAGCATTACTCTGACTTTATGGAACAGAAAAACATCCCCTTCACTTCAGCTGGACACAGTGAACAACATGTGCATTAGAGATTTTGGATCTTTTGGAAAGAAGTTGAATTGTACTTACATTTAGGGGACTTAAAGTTGAAACCTGGTCTACACAGGTACCAGTTAATGATGCCACTCGGGGGGACCACTAGTTTAGAGGTTCCTGGCTCATTCATTTCTGGGTTTGAGTCAGTCTGCGAAGCTGCAAACACCTTCTTGCTTTTGCTCAGCTGCTCGGGCTCAGACAGGCCGAGCAGCTCAGACATGGGCCTTGGCTGGCGGGCCGGCTGCTGGGGCCTGGACTCAGACCGCATCTCAATTGCATAACTAGAAACAATAAATCTGTTTTCTTTCTGCGGCACAGGAGAACCCCACTGTGAGGACGCCCTGTGTCTTGAACGAATCACTGGGTCAGACTTGTAACCAGGAAGAAGTCTCTCTGCAACGTAACCTTCTACTGGTCTACCATATAAACCACTGTCACCTCCAGCACTGGGTGCGGCAGCAGGCCTCAGGTTCCCGGACGAACCACTCTGAGAGTAACTGGGTCCAGAGCTTCCCGGAGCAACTCCAGGCTGTGCAGAGCCCACAGCACTGAGATACAAAGAAGCAGACACATAACTGGTTGGAAACTCCTCAGCCAGCTTAGAGGATGGTTTGATGCCACTGGAGCCTGCTTTTTTGGAGATAAATGCTAAAAAGACAGAACACTGCATTGGTCACTTTCGTAAAGACGTTAGCTGAAGTGCAGCAGAAAGGCTGTGCAGCAGAAAGGCTTACCATGTGCAAACTGCCCACAGGTCAACAGCAAAAGCAGCCTGGACACAAGAGAAAGTGACATGTGAACAAACAAACACCAGGCTGATGCAGCAAGATCTCTGCCAACAGAAAGAAAAGTAACCCACTTCACACAAACTCCACAAGCCATTTTTTTTTTTTTCCCTTCTGAAGCCAAAAAACTGGCACAGCCCACACTGCAGGTAGACTCTGTAAACAGCATTAGCACCTGAGTCAGTGTGTCACACTGACAAAGCCTTTTGAATCAGGCTGTAGATGAACCCCTATGGCAACCTGGGTAGGTGTTGGCACTTTAGCTAATTGGCTACGTTTCACTTCCCTCAGCCATGAACCAGGAGAAAGCTTCTCAGTGGTGTCTAGTAGATGATCCACCTGTGATGGTTTTCAAATACAACAAAAGTTACATTTTATTTTGATTGTATAATCAATGATTTTAAAATGTATATAAAAAAACAACTATTAAACAGCAACATCTCCAGGAGACTGAGCCCCTCCCTCCTTGTTTGTTCCTTTGTCCTAGGTGTGAGTTTCACCTTTTCGGTGCTTGTGTGGTTCTTTATAGGTCTTCACAGTAGTCGGTGGAACCTGGAAGTTGCTCGACATCTTCCCGTCAGATAAGTGTACAATCTGTCACCCTCTTTGTCCATACTGCAACTTTACTATGCTGCTTTGTTCTGTACACACACCTGTTTCCTTCCGCTGTTGCTCTTCCTGAGGTTTCTTCTGTTTTCTCCACTGAGGCAAATTCGTGATTTGTAATGTTGGGCTGTCTAAAAACTAAAACGGGGCTGACTTGATCTTTTCCCCCAGACATGCTGTCGACTAATACTGATTGTTTCAACACCAAAAGCAGAATTTCCTCCTATTGAGGAGATACAAATTACAAGCTGATGTGTCAAAAGTGTCAGTGTTGCAGACTGTGGTTGCTCGTCCAGGCACTAACCTGGTGTTGACATGAGCTAGAAAATGTGCAAAGTACCTACTAAAACATCCATATTATTATAGAGGTGGTGCACAACTACAGTGTGTACTGCAAGTCATTCTTTTTCATTGATGTTGAGAGTACTGTGGCATTATTACAAGACTGTCTACTCCGTGTTTCTTTGAAAAAACAACCAGCATCGCTCCCAGTAGAGCCCCCCCAAAGGTCAACCTCAAACACCCACAGACTGAGTAACAACAGACCAGAATGCAGACTTTTTATTTATTATAGCTACAATGCACTGCAATGTGTTGTTTTGTTCTTACTGCATGTGGATATATCAACCCCTTCTGATATCTACTGCTCTAAGATGGCCGAGCTAAGCTAAAACTAAAAGATCCCTGCTGGCGATACTCGGTGTTTCCTCCTCTACATAGTGTCTGATGGTCTAGGTCTCATTCATGTCCCTGTACAGTTTACAGATATATGTACATACAGTACAACATGTGGGCGATCTGTGGACTGTGGCTGCCATCATGTGCAGTGAATGTGCCCTTTGTATTGTGACAGAGAAGAAAGACATGGCCGACAAAGAATTAAATAAGTTTACTTTTACTGGATTCACAAGCACGTCATGCAAACACAGTTTCATATATTGGCACATTGCAAAGCAGCATCAGGCCATGCAGTCATGAAAACACCAGCTAGATAGTTTTTCCATCTTATATGTCAAAGCTATTTTTAAGCCATGCAGGCAGAGATCCACGTTTAATACACTATGTTCACTACTGCAGGAGTTTAATACAGAAAAATATATAAAATTGTGGGAATGTATTGTGTTTAATGGCATAAACTAGTTGCATTGTCTTTTTAACATCAAACTGGGTGAGAACAGTACAGGTGGAGGAGTCACATAGCAAGACGAAGGAAGGAGAGCGTACAAGATGAAGAAGAGTGGAAAGAAAGAAGTTTAAATAAGCAGAGGAAGTAAAAGAAGGAAAAGTCACTTGTGTGAACAGTAGGAGGCTCCGTTAGCTGAGCTTGAGGCCGAGGCAGAGAGCCAGCTCGTTCTTCTGGATCTTTCCATCCCCGTTGATGTCACAGTGACCCATCAGGGATTTCCTGAACTTGTCCAGGTCTACTCCGCTGATGTTGGGCTGGAGCAGAGGGTCGGGGTATTCAAAGGTCAGAGGTCAATGCTTACTTAACTTGTGTTGAGTCATAATTTGTCACAGTGGAAGAAAAGGGGCAGTAAAGTCCCAGCTGATACTGGTGAAGGGTTTCTCTGAGCAGTCACAGAAATGTTTCAGATACAAGATAGATGTGTGGTTTCTATAAAGAGTCGCAGCTAAAGGTCTGGTAAAAACATAGAACCAAGAGGTGGCACTGCCTGAGCCACCATAGGGCTTTTAATGTGAAAACAGCAGTGACACAAACTAACATGGCGAATGGCGGCACTCACCAGCCACTCAGTTAGGTACACCTGTACAATTGGGTGCATTTCAGTGCAACACTTCCACCAAAACATCTGTTTATGAAGCTCAGAATGTTTCAATGTTTGCTGAAGTTGTCATAAATGATATGTTTATTATTGAGGTCATAGTTAAAGGGGGTGCTGTACTGGACTACATTATATTCAGAGGTGTCTCTATATTTTTGTCCTCCCTGGCTACATACATGAGATGGTCAGAATATTAGAAACAGGATATAAAGTATGGACATCATGATTGGAGAAAGGTTCGTTTTATACCTTCACCAGCTCCATCATATCCTTGACAAATCCATCCACCTCAGGACCCTCCAACGCTCCAGTCTTACTCTGCACACACAGTTTCATAGAGGACATTTCAAAAACAGGCAGAATAGATAAAGAACTGATGTAATAAAAACGACTGCACAACAAGGGAAGAGGGACAAACACAGTGTAGCACCTGATGTAAGAACTTTACTGACATCATGATCAGAAAAGCACATTATTACCTGGTAAAATCCACAGACTGCATTTGATTGTTGTTCCATATAAATCTTTGGAAACTTCACTTTTGAGTCATGATCACCATGAAGAACCAAAGCATCTTCACTAACCACATGTTCAAGTGTTACTGTATGGGTTCAAATCTGTGCAACTGGGATATAACCAGCATGTTGTTACCCCCCCACTTCATTGGCCAGTCAGCAAACAGAAATAAATTCCTCCTGCTAGTCTGTGCAGAGTAAACAAATTCAAACTTACGACATCGTAGTGTGCAAAGATCTTCTCAAAGTCCCTCTTTCTGTCCTCTTGACTACAAGCCTGAGACAAAGCACATTGATGAAGGTTATGAAGAGTGTGGCACTAAACGTTCACTGAGCACACAAAGCATGAGGACCAGCAGCATGGTCGGATCACGAGACAATGGGCTCCTGGACACAGAGTCATGAAAAGGGCCCCCACCCTTCTACAGAGATGCAACATTCCCAGACTGAAAGAGTTTTGTGTCTTTGATTTTGCATCTTTTTGCAACCATTCAAAGAGTTTTGTGTCTTTGATTTTGCATTGTTGCAACCAATCTGCATCTATATTTAGTTGTGGCCGCTTGGTTTGTGACTCTTTTTCATTTAATAATTTTTTTCTTTTTACTTGCTTTGAGTCTTTTTGTGGTTATTTTTGTCTATGTTTTGCATGTCCCTGTGCTCATTTTGCATCTCTTTGTGGCTGGTTTGCATCTATAATTACTCATTTTGCATCCGTTTGTTGTTGATTGATTTGAAAATAATAAATGTTTATGGTCATTTTATAGAGAGGATCAGGTTTGGAGGGCCCTTGATGCCTGGGGCCCCCTGGGCCCCTGGCCCTGTGCCTGGTAGACCCGCTCAACAACCTATCCATGACCACCAGCTGTTAATCAGCTGTCAACATGCAAACAAGGGAGAATATAATATACATTTCAGGTATAAAAGGGGGTGTGTAGGTGTAAACAATGAAACTTTATTTTTCCCTGCACACTTGTAAAATTTACAAAATGTCAGAAACTTACATCCATCTTAAACTTCAGTAGGAAGTTCTCTTTCAGAGACAAAATTCTGTTGACAACAGACAAACAGTTTCAATAAGCTTAACTTAAAAGACATCTGCTTTAAGAAAATGGCTGCACATTATTGGTTATCTTAAGACATTTGGATGCAGGAGTATTGAGGAAATACTTGTGCTGAACCAGTAACACAAATGTGAATAAAACATTCCAAACTCAAGGTTCACTTACTAGCTTTTTTTGTGAGCATTTAACCATATTCACTGGCCTTCTACAGCAAATACACCATTATACAATCACATGTAGTTCTAAGCATACTTTGGTCACACAGTGAAAAATGACCAAGCTGAGTTTGCTGAGGAAGGACACTGAACAGAGTCAAACACTCCAGAACATGCTACAAAGTTAAGCTGAGGTTTTACTCTACAAACTGGTTTACTGTACCAGATGAAACCAAGTGTGTTCATATCTGACACTGTATCTTTTTAGCACTGTGATAAGACCAGCTGTGATTAGAAATGTTTCCAAATTCCTGTGGTTCCTCTCCTGTCACATGATCAGCTGTACCTGGCCAGGTCATTTAAATCCAGTCTGCCATCCCTGTTTTTGTCAAACATCTTCATCTACAGGTGGAAAACAGTCAGAATGAGTTAATAGTGTGTGAGAAGCAGCTGCAAGCCACAATCCCCCCCCCCACCACCACCAGCAGCTCTGCCAGTTACCATTGTATCGGTGTACTCATCCAGTTTTTCGGGGGTGACGGACTTCCTGTGTTGAAGGAACAGGTCGTGAAGGAAGCCCTGAGGGGACATAACTAAATTACTCAGTTCATGTTAGTGCTGCCAGTTGTTTCAAATTTGAACGTTTGATTTGATCTGAGTATGGTCGTATGAAATGCTAAGTTTATATAATTTTAGGACTCAATTTTTTAAAATTATTTAAATGTAGTTATTGACTCCACAAAACATGCAGATTTGAATTAAACTGTTAGTTTGAAGGTTCTAGCAAAAAAAAAAACAACAACAAAAAAAACAGGCATCATCAAACAGGAGAACTCTCTGGTCCACATCAGGACAACATCTGCCTGACCACATTTCATGCAGCTGTTCCTGACCCTCTCCTGACAGACAAAACCAGATCCTCGGCTGCAGAGAGAATAAGAACCATTTTCTTTGGTGTCATTCTTGAAACCCAGGCTCAAACTCAGCAGTTACCTTGAGCTCGGTGGCCGAGATGTAGCCGCTGCTGTCTGTGTCATAGTTTCTCCAGATCTGCACAAACAGACAGAATTATGAATGAAAATCCTATCCCATTAAAACCAGTGTCTAGTGAGCATTACAGCAGCCACATTCAATCTAAATGACAGAAACCATACAGGACAGCTCTAGCACCAGTACCCTGCAGCTCCTTCTTGTGGTTTTGTGCACCAAATGTAAACAAGCCTTTCCATGTTAGACATACACTGGTCTCCTCTGTGTGCTCAACTATTTGTTGACCTTTGACCCTCACCCTCATGAACTCCACGCTGTTGTCCAGTGGAATCCCTCGGCGGAACAGAAGCAGGAAGTTCTCCTCTTCAGGCAGCATCATGGTGGCCAGCTGGAACCATAGAGTACACAGCAACTGTCACTAAAAATGATCCTTCAACTGTTACCATCGCCTCAGTCGAGCTGTTCAAAGTGCAAACCTGCAAATTCAGCTGTGGTAAATGCAGAGTAACAAAGGTTTTCCTGCTCTACACAATATAACGCAATCTACAGGAGTGATCATGATTGTTGATCTGCACCAGCATCATCATTTCTAAACTGGGTCTGAGAACAAATTCTGCCCCAGGTCTTGTTTTTGGGGACATTGAAAACTGTAGAGGTCAGAGGTCTGCTGCCTTGACTGCGTCTCATCTGTGCACTGCTGACCCGTGACAGTATCACTTGATATGCAGGCTTCTTTAAAAGTGAAACAGTTCGGAGGACAGCCGCACCTCTTGGATCTGCAGACGTCCGTCGGCTGCTGTGTTGCTGGCAGACACAAACCTTTCTCTCAGTCTTCTGATTTTGCCCTTAGTTATCTCCTCTCTCTGAAAACAACACGGACATTAGGGACACATAGGTGTGGCTCAGGCAAGCAAGATGGTAAAACACATGGCAGTGCATTTCTTTAACTTACAGAGGTAGTCATCATGACTGTTATCACTTAACCTGATGGTCTCATTGCAGTGGAGACTCAAGCTTAAGACCATAACTATCAATAAAAATGAATCCAAAGAACTTAATGAAAATTAAAATGTCACTCACTTGATACTTACTACATTATCATGCACACTAAAACCTTACACATTTTTTGTGTTCAAGTTCAAAATCTGACATCATCAGCCCTCTGTGGACCAATCAACAACACTGCAGCAGACAGGAGTTCAGTTCTTGTCCTTAGAGACTAAGAGGATTCATTTCATGAATTTCTCCAGAAGCAGGTAGAAAACGACTCAACTCCAAATGCAGCCTCAATTTTTATCTCACCTTCATCCCGAGTTTTTCCAACATGTGCTGAAAGAAGTCATCCAGCTGTTTTGCTTCGATGTAACCCTTATCTAGAAACACAACCGGGCGTCTCGTCAGGACAAGTGGGCACACAGCTCACCACACAATCAAGTCACAGCACTCGTATCAAGTCAGTGAAACTGCTCATGTGTATTATTACAGATGTTTCATTATTATATCTACACTAGCAAGGTTAGTGGGTGAAGCTGGCGTTCAGCTGCCCAGACCTGCTGGATGGTTGACACAGCCTGATTACACCAGGCACTCAACACCCGAACGATTAATATCAAATCAACAACCAGGGGACTGCCTTCTCCTACAGCAAGGAGTCCAAGGCTTCAGAATCTCACACAGCACATTAATGTTTAAACTACGGTTCAAACTGTAATAATTTGTTATTGTAAATGCAGACTGAACAGTGTCTACATGTATCTTGGTTTTTTAACCCTTGAATATTCTATACACTGTAAATATGCATTTGAGTTTGGTGTTAATATAAGGTTTTCCTTTCCTTAATTAATTTTTATTTGGGTATTAATTTGTGCATTGCTTTTCATTCCCATAAGGCAACCTTCAAGGCTGCACATGTTCCCATGTGTTCCCACTTTCTTTGTCTAACTCTGCTGAAGCCTCGTATAGCCGTTATTCCTAAAACAAGGGCTGCACACGACCTCGGGTTAGGCTGTCAAACACCAGGCTCAGCTGTCTAACTGATGTGAGAACAGCTGGCTTATGAATAATGTGACTGCTTTACTATTAAAATAAGTAAACCTCCTCTCTGAACTCAAAGTTGACATTTCATGTAGTAATGGGGAAGCATGTTAAATAATATTAAACATACTGACACTGAGGACATTAAAACTTATTACCGTCCTTGTCAAAACGTTGCCAGATCTGTAAGAAGCCCGCAGCATCCAGCCTGGCCAAGGCACGGTCCATGGTGCTGAAAACCAGTCCACAGGTCGACCTGCTGACGGCAAAACAAGGGAAAAAGCTTCTTCCACAAACAAACAGCACAAGGATTATCCACTGAAATAAACGTGATTCTGACTTCACCTCCAGGCGAAATGAGAGAGCGGAGCTTTGTCCTCAGCTTGTATATGAAGAGAGGGAGGGGCAGAAAGGAGCAAGGGGGAGAGAGAGTGCAGCCACTAAAACAGTGTTTATTGGTGTAAACAGAGAAATACAGAAATATCGGACAGCTTCGTGTCACAGTTACAGGCTAGCAGGTCCACCAACATACAAACAATAAAACACGTTGAATTAAAAGTATTTTCCCAGTAAAACAAAACCCATCACCAGGTATCCCACATGAAAATCCTCACAGATTCAACAGCACGTTTCATTGGTAACACATCAGATTTTCTGCTCAGGACACATTATAAAACCCCAGAGACTCTATATTTAACTGATATAAACCCCATTTATTCCATAAACAGAACCTGAAACACTGGTGAGTATATATTTACACTGATGCATGTGTAAGTGCAGCAGTACATGATTACGAGTATACATTAAGGCATGTGGAGATACAGCAGCAGTGGCAAGTATGAATCTGAGGCAAACATTGATGCTGTTTATGTTAAACATGCACCTTCTCACAGTGGACACGCCTACCTATGGGAGCAGAAAGGTGGTCGTGTTAAGTCCAAATGTCTTCTGTGGAAAAAAACCCACTGGATTTTATTGCAGGCTTTAGTTTTTGGCAGAAAAAAAAGAAAAGAAAATCTCACTGGTTGTGTTTAGCCTCAGTGGGGGAGTCCCAGAGGAAGTTTCTATGTTGGTCTCCACTCACTGAGGTTTATGCCGAGTCCACATCAGACAGGGCGATGACAACGATGTTTACGACTTTCACACATTCATGTCACGGGGTGACTCAGGACAGCTGCGACTCGTGTGCAGTGACAATCCATAAAAGCAGAGCTGAGTGACGGGCACTGGCTGACAGGAGTTGCCTCTGCTCTTGTAATTCCCAGGTACATATTGGACCTTTCGGGAAACGTTTTCCAGTCGTGATCTCAACTTGCATCTAAATGCAAACACTATTCATAAGTCAGAAACTTTTAACTCAGCCTAGAAAGTTTCTTTCTGCAGCTCAGCCTCATCATCTGTTTTGTTTTACTTCACTGTGGTTCTAATGTGAATTTGTTTCTTTTAAGGAGTAAAAGATTTAATTAGGATTTTCCTGACTGTAGTTCAAGAGTCTTACTCTGCATTATTTGGCCTTATGTCAGGATAGACTTCTACAACATTCATGGATTTAATGGGAACACGAGGAGAATCAAGTCATTTTTAAATTGTAGGTTTTCAGTAATATAACTTTTAAGGCAACAGTGTCAGTTAATAACATCCACAGTGACAAAGCAAGGATTCAGCACCTTGCACAGGCATCTAATGATGTTCACAAGGACTTGTTCATTCACTTGTTCTGCATTGCTTTTTTAAAAACTTTTACCAAAGCTTGAGGCAACATCATCTGTGTTGCCCTGAAATAAAACAAAGCAGCAGCAGCTTTAACTAGTGAGGTTAGCATCATTAGCACAAACGAGTTTTTATATTTAAAGACAAAAAGCATGATGTTGTCTTTATGTCAGTTGGACTTTCTGAGATATCAAAAGTAAAATATTTTATCTTTGGCAGCCAACAGCTTCAGCTCTCTTTGGCTTTTGACACTTTCTAGTTGTTGCAGGGCATCTCTGCTGCATTTTCTAATCAGTGAACAATTCACTGTTCCAAGATGAGGAGTGAATGTTTGCAGTATTATCTGTACAGTCCTGTGACTTACCTGCTACAGTCAGGTCGACTGAACAGAACATGAATACAGTAAAACAAAACAGCTTCAGTCTGGACCTCCTCAGACTGTTCGACTCCTTCTTCTCAGTGCTTCGGACTAACTGAGCTTTATACAACTGAACCTGGTTGTAAGCAACCACAGATTGTTTCAGCAGCAGATCTTTATGATCCTGTTAGAGCTGTTCACACAGAGAGACCCGCTCATGGAGCAACAACGGGGACTGATCCAAGGCCAGGAAACAGCACAGCAGTGTCCCGTCTGTTCACATGTGCCAGGTTTATATAAAAAAAAAAAACATTGTCCGCTGTTTCTGCTTCGCCTGTGTGTCTGGGACTGACCTCCTTATTGCTTCTTTGGTGCAGAAAGGACAGTCGAGCAGAATTTGACTAAACATCTTGTTGGTGTTGGACTGAAGGAGAATCATCACCAGATTCGTCCTCATATTGCTTGTCGGCAGCCAGAGCTGGAACCAGCTCCTCAGCTGGGCTGAGGTCTGTGTCTGCTGGAGACGAAGGCCGCACTGAAGACACAAAGAGAGAGCAAAATAAAATGGCTGAAGTTTTCTTTGTTTCTTTGTCTCTTGTCTTCTGACTCGGTAATAAAGCAAGAGCCATAAACTAAGACCTAAGCCCTGAAACCACCAAAACTAAAACTGAAAATAACTGAGAAAAGTCACTTCAGATCTCGAAACTAGGAAAGCAAAGTAAAACACTGAACCAAGGGAAAATCAAAGTTAAACCTAAACTGACCCCTAAACTTAGACTCTACAACAAGGAAACTCAAACAACTCTAAGAGAAGGAGAAGTTTATTCTGAGACGATTGTTTTAACTGAAGTAGTTGCTGCGTGTGAGGCCTCAGTGGAGGACTGTAAACTACTGTAACCAGACTGAAGACAGACTTATTGGATGGACAGAAATGTGAGCAGTCAAACCGTAAGTAGGCAGGGACAGGGTGCGCTCTCGGTCCTCCTCCCTGGCAGCAGGAGGACTGGCTGAACTCTTAACAGACGACCACTCTCTGCCACCGGTCCCGGGCTCGGTACCGGCACCAGGTGGGGCAAATGCATCGCCCTCATCCCTGGAAACCTCAACTGTGGGAACAAGAGACACCAATAAACCAATTCATGTCCTTAAGCAACACTTCACCACAGTCATACACTCAGGTTAAACAGATCAACTAATTTAGCCCATTCTGGATCAAAGTACTGAAGCAGGAATACACAGTAACCACAACTACCACTGTCTGTTCAGGTGCTGTAAAAGAAAGCGTTTGTTTTTCCAATAAAAGCTTAGTTTTCCAGTGAAGAAGTGACTGTGTACCTGCACTGCCTTAGATAACTGTGTGTTAACTGAAATTCACACACTTTGGCAGTGACAGTTGTGTAATAACACCTGCTGACGTTCTTGTTGCTCTTCTCTCTTTGATTTTACAAAAGACAAGTCGCCTTCGTGATTACGCAGGAGAAGTGCCGTTTTAAGGAAAAACACCGAGTTCCTGTACGAGTTAATTACACAAGTCGAGCATTAAAGCACAAAATCCCCCCCCACACACTGACACTTGGACATGTCAACCACAGGCTGGGAGCACATCTGCTTTAAGTGTAATGACCTTTGCTTCAGATGTACTGTGTGTGTGCGGCGTGCGGAGGCGTCAAATATGGCCCTGAAAGTGTTCATTAAACAAGTTGTCAACTGTTAAATTGAGTGTTATATTTTCAGCTATGCTCCGGCTCACAGGCAGCGCTGACTCATGCAACGTTCATCATTAAAAATAAAACAAAACATAAAAACCATGGCTGTCCAACGTCTTGGTGGTGTTTATCCTTTCAGTTTCTCTGCAGATGCACTTTCTTTTTCATTCTGCAGTATTTGGGATAACAGATGTTTTGAAATGGATGAAATGGTACTGTTAGAAACCAGTGCAACCTGTTACAGCGTCACTGTGCTCTCAATTACTGCAAATACTGGCACGCTAAGCTAAATGTGGCTAATCTGTCCTTTATGGATCAGAATCACCTTAACAAATAAAACAAGCAGACAATCTAGTATTAGTTTGATTCCTTGCACTCTGTCACTATTTTCTTGCACAAATGAATGAATGATGAACTGTAACAACCAAGAAAAATTACAGTGACATACAACAGGCACTACAACACAAGACCACATAGTATGACCAGACACGCTGCTTCTTTTTCTGGGCTACTCTGTCTAGACACTAGTCTATCATTGTTTGAAGACTGTGCCATAATAACATGAACAAGAAAAAAAAGTAAGTGGAATCTGAAATTATTTTAGAGAAATCTGTTCAATTATTAGTTGTAACTCTGGTATTTTCACCTGCTTACTAACATAAAATGATATTTTTAAACTGAAAAAGTAATTATTTAATACACTTCTAACATATCAGAACCATAATCCCTTATGTCTAACGCTGCTGCCTTCACGGTCTTACTAAGACCTTTTAATCCAAAACTGATACCACTTGGGTGAGATGTGGGATTTTTAAAAAGTAACCGTGGAGCTCTTCGTTCTACCAATATGAAACTGTTGCTGCTACAGGCGATGTGCTCCTGAAGGTCAAACAGAGATACCAACCCTCCAGTGGAGACAGAGGTCCTGCAGCGCTGCTGCTGCCGCTCTCTCTCTCCTGCTCTGATGACGCCCTCTTCAGGCGAGGAGCAGGAAGTGGCCCTTTAGCAGATAAGCTACCCACTGCAGCCTCAGCAGAGTCATCTGATAAAGAGAGCAATAAAACTGTGAATGGATTCTCTATACAAACCTTCACACACAGTAATAAAGGTGTTCTGAAGCAGTGAGAGCTGCTGAGTCTGATGCCTTTTCGTTCCTGTTTTCCCCAGTCCTTGCCTACCGTGACTGTGGCCACTGCTCGGTGTTGGACTAGTTGGACTGGTGGGACCAGAGGTGTGGGGCACCAGTGGGGGTCTGGTGGCCTGGGGTGGGCGCGGTCTGAGGGTGATACATGGTGGTTTGGACCTGGGAGTTGGCTCTGGTCTGAGCTCATCAGCATCTGCTGGGTCAACAGGGTGGATGTCTGACTTGGCTGCAAGAAGAGGATAAAGACGTTTAACACTAAAATGAAGGTGACCTCAGACCTTTAAACAGCAATGTACATGTATGATAAAACTACACCAGATAATCTTCTTAAGCATGGGCAGAAAATCCAACACAGGCCCACACGTAACAGGATATTAAAGAAACTCACCTTTGTCAGCATCCACCTTGTTCTGCATGGATGCCTCAGACTAAAACCAGAGAAACAGCTTTTATTATACTAAACACAATGTTGCCGAGTTCGTGGCTTGACATACTGTATTCTTATGCTGTGGCTCATGTATGTAAAGCGCAGATGTGTCCACCTTATGACTTCCACTATAAAACTTTACTTCCTGTCAATTACTCCATGTGTCAACCTTCACTACTACAGGTATTATGGAGTCACTTTACCTTTTTTCTACTGTTGCTTTCATCCTGCTGATGTTTTTACATCTAGATTAAGACAGAGTACCAATACCAATATAGTGGCTACTGATGATATTACATCAGTAGTAATCTAGCTATTGACCCACCTTCTTTACAGCCAGCCTCTCCTGTCTGGCCTTCATTTCGGCCATAAGGTCCTTTCCCATGACAGCAATCCCAAAATGGCGAGGTTTTTTCTCTACATTCTCTTTCTTCTCCAGGTGCTCTACCTTCTCTACGCTGTCCTTCTTCTCCACGCTCTCCTTCTTCTCCAGACTGTGCTTCTTCTCCACGCTCTCCTTCTTCTCCAGGTGCTCTAACTTCTCTATTCTTCTCCACGCTCTCCTTCTTCTCCAGACTGTGCTTCTTCTCCACGCTCTCCTTCTTCTCCACACTCTCCTTCTTCTCCCCCTTCTCCTGCTCAGCAGTGGTCAGTGAGGTCTCCATTTCTGATTCCACGTGGTCCTGGGAATGAGGCTTGAGGAGCTCCTGATGGGGCATCACCATGACTGCAGGGTTTGTCATGGGCAGCGTCGGGGATGTCGGCGCCGTCTCGTGATTCACTGGGCTAATATAAGATGAAGGTGGAGTGGTGGAGGCGGCTCCGTGGCTTTTCTCTGAGCGGGAGGTCCTCGATTTGATAAGGTTAAAGAAGCCGCTCTTTCTGGATTCATGTTTCTTATCTGTTGACTCCTGCGTGCTGGAGGACAAACCTCTGACAGAGGGAAGTCTGGAGCAGATTAAAAATAGTAACAGAGTCAGAAAACTCTACACCGTTACTTAAGTCATGCAATCCAACCAAATCTCAAAAGGTTCTTACATTATGAAAAAGCATCTACAGTATTTTAAATCAAACTGATTTAGGAAATTAGGTTTTAGAGAGTTGCCATTTACTTTACACAAATAACAAAAGGGTGCAAGATTTTTTTAAATAATCTGTTTTTGCTGTTGTTGTGTCAATGTCAACGTCTTTCAGCTTAAAGATCAATGCTCACTTGAAGCTAAGTCTGATGACTTTCTTGGAGAAGAAGTCATCCAGACCCTCGTCTAGCTTTCCCATGATGCTGCTCTGCTCAGTCTCTTCTGGTGCCAGGTTTCCCGTGAAGGCCCGCTGCAAGACCAATGGCAGGAACAAAAAAAGAGAGATGAGGCTCAATTACATCTCTGGCATTTAACAAAGGATCAGAGGGAGTTACGACAACCGCATTTGCGGTTTTCCTAAGCTATGCTGTGACATTTAATATTGGTGAATAAACACGTGCTCTCTGATGGGAACCCACATGTTTTCTGCTGGGTTTTGTCCTCTTCTTGGGTTTTGGTCGAAGTTTGGTGTGATGCTCCAGCGTCATGTGCTCCACAGGCGGCAGCTCACCAAAGCAGACAGACTTTGTGTCTGGTGAAGTAGGAGGAGAGGGGAGGTCCCCGTAGTAGCTGGACATTCTGTCCAACGGCTGTGAAGGAGGAGGAGGAGAAGGAACGGGGGGGTCTTCAATATGGATAGGAACCTCCTCCAGAGCCTTGTCCAAGTCAAACTCCATCTCTGTTGGGTACAGAAAGCATCACAGCCATGTGGGAAAGACACATATCAAGATGTTGGACAGCCTACTGAATAAAATCAAGACACAGCAGAAATAAGAACAACTTCATCACCTGCAAGTCAGAAACCCCCAAAGCTTTAAAAATCTGGCTTTTCTAAATGTCTAGTTATATGTTTTGTCATGTTTATCATTATCAAACAAGCACAAGATGTTTTTTCATTGCATGCCTTCTTACCATACATCTATGGACAGCAAACATAACACTGAATATACAGAGAAAAGGACTTCTCACACAGGCCAGAGGGTTTTGTTTATGTTTCTATCTGAAGTTACTGTAAATCATGTGTGTATCACTCACCGAATGCCACAGAGACAGGCCGCAACATCCTGACCAGAATACTCTTTCTCTTGGATTTAGGAGTCATCTAATGAGCAAAAACAGTTTTTTCTTTATTTTCACCATAACAAAGACACATTCTGGAGTTTTTAATGTTCTGTTAATTTTGCAAAGCAGCTGCTTATAGATGATGATGATAATGATGAAAGCAGTATTTTTAAACACCACACTGTTCTGCTGCCTCATTGACATATTCACAGCTCATCACACATGTCCGTGTTTTGCTACCATGCAGGAGTCTATGTCCTCCAGTTTCTGGTCTTGGCCGTCTCTGTGCTCCCGCTCATGGTTCTCAGGCTGCAGAACCAGCTCATCCAGAACCTCTGTTTCCACCTGAGACTCGCGATGCAGCAGAGGCTGACCCTTCCTGATCAGATGGTTGGCCTGGAGACAGAGGGAGGAGACAGGGAGCGGTGAACGAAAGAAAGGAAGACCAACAAAAAGAAAGACAAGAAGGCAGAGAGGAGACTAACCAGAGTGTGCTGTGATTGGGACAGAGACTCCAGAATCTCATCCACAATGCGATCTGACAGAAGTGATGCCATGCTGAGTTTCACTTCACTGTGTTACAAAAACACAAGACACACAAACAAAACATAACAGAGGTCCAGCTATATCCAAATTAAACTTTCATGAAAAAACAAGAGCGATGACATCATTTCCTGTGGCCATTTTTGCTTAATTGGAAAAAACTGACAAACTACCTTTTCCTGGCCCAGACCAGATTCTTTTTGATTCCACATCATTAGAAAGCTCAACAGTTACATGGCTAAATCCTGGCCTTGCTCTCCTGGAAATTCCAGTCACTGACTTCAAAGACCTGCTGCAGCTGAAGCTACAGTACATTTCCCTGCTAAAAACACACAGCGGATCAGACCTGATCTTGTTGATGATGTCGACGCCCGACTGTTCCAGCAGTGTGGTGCTGATGAAGCTGCAGGGAACAGTCATCCTCCCTGCACCAGCCTTCAGCAGCTCCTGACGAAGGCTGCTCCTCTTCATCACGTGAGGACACAGTCCCTCGGCAGCGTCCACCATTGACAGCAGCGTCGTCTGAGGAGAAGGAGTCCACAGAGTTCAAATCTCACCACGTGTTCCACTTTAAACTGTGTGTTGCTGCGCAGCATGTGCGAGGTCACATCCAACAACGTTCACCCTGCACGTTACTGGGATTCCCAGTGTAAAAACAGCAGTGTGTTCACTTCTGTACCTGCAGCTGCTCGTCCATCACCCTGGCCACCTCCCCTGCCATCGACTCCAGTTTGTCCTGAATAGCTCCAACACAAGCGCTGCTGGACCCCGCGCCCTTCAGGTGGTACAGGTTGGGGAGCAGCTGGAGAAGACAGCAACAGTGAGTTTAAACTCCAAGTACTTTTGGTTTGTAATCTCTGGCTTTGTTTCAACTGACAGCATTTTAAACTGCTCATCAGTGGAGGCTGGTTGACATGGCAGCTCACTTCATGTTTAGAAAATCTAATGCCAAAGCTGTTTTATTACTCCGCTACTTCACTGTTTCTCTCCGCTAGAGACCACCGCAGCTGAAACAAGAGCTTCTTGTTATTAGATAGTATTTTAAATATTGTGACAGTTTATTGGCGACCTGTAGTGCTGAATGTTCTCTCTATTGTATTTGTGTTTTTTGTCTTTGTAACTTTTTAACGATGCCATCATGCCAGGGCTCCCTTTAAAAAAAGGTTTTAAACCTCAACAGGATTTCCCCTGGTACAATAAAGTAAAAAGAAAAAGATGCAGAGGAGAAGTCACAGTGGAACTGTTGCTTTCTCTGGCTCTGCCCAGATGAAGTCTCACATCATACTCCTACAAACAGGCTGTCTTCTTAATGTACAGGAAGACTGACAGTTATGTGGCTCATGTTTTCTTACCGTCTTGGAGTTTCTGGCGTCCTTCATCAGGTTCTCCGCCACCTTCATGTCTTCCAGAACTGAGATGGTCTCTGTGAACCTCAGAGAGTTCAGGTGGTCCTGCACCTTCACACACATGGTATCCATCATCTACAGAGACACACAAAAAGGTCAGAGGTCATAAAAAAAATGACACAGTCGTGTGTGTGAAGGTCAGAGGTCATAAAAAAAATGACAGTCGTGTGTGTGTGTGTTGTTGTTGTTGTGCCTGCCTGCTTTGTGGTTGAGGTGACTATCCCCTGCTGCAGCCTGTATGCCTGCTCCTGGAGGTATTTGCGAGTCTCGTGGTTTCTCAGCAGGTACTGCTCCATCTGCAGCAAAACACAATTCTCTTAATGCAACACAACTGAGACTACAACCATTTTAAAAAGCATCAGAAATATACAGCAAGTCAGGAGAGCAACCTTTAGTAAGGCGTCCTCCGTCTTCTCTGGGTTTGCCTTCAGTGCCTGAGCAGCGTCCATGATGGGAACAGGCATGAAACGAATGGTGTAGTTTCTGATGGGGAGAGAGAGATTTAACATCTCTTAAAGGTTCAAATCAGTCATGATGCCCTGACAGAAAACTTCACACTCACTTCTCCAGAGCGGCAGCGACGTCCTGTAGACCCTGAGGGCTGATGTTGTTTCTGTCCCAGATGATTGTTCTGCAGAGACACACACACACAGAGCTGACCCCACCAGTGTTTCATCTGACTTCTCTCTTGATTCTGTGGTGAGTTGTTTCCTCTAGAATCACTGAAAACAGGTGCCTGATCTCTGTGGCTGAGTCTGTGACCCCGTTGCTTTGTTCACCTGAGTTTGGTGTTGATCTGCAGGGCTTTGGCCAGCATCTTGGCACCCATGTCTCCCATGGCATTTCCACTGATGTCCAGATTGGTCAGAGAAGTGTTGCTGCCCAGAGCGTTGAGGACAATGGAGAGGTTGTCCTTCAGCTTGGAATCAGCCAGCGACAGTGAGGTTAGCGGCTGCAGAGGAGCAAAAGGGTGGAATGGTTTTACACTGGTATTGCGTCCAATGTGCCTGATCAGCGTTTCTGCAGAGAATACTGTATGATGAAATCAATGTCATGGGCAAAGGGGACAAAACCAAAGACTGAGAAACAGGCAAACACAGAGAGAGACACTGGAAGGAACGAAAGGAAAGAAACATTAATCAGGCTAAAAAGTTTTCACTCACTAGAGAGACACTGGAAGGAACGAAAGGAATGAAACGTTAATCAGGAGAAATGCAAAAAAAGTGTGATGCTAAAAAGTTTTCACTCACCGATTCCTCCTCTTGTATCACATGAACCAGGGTGTCCAGGACCTGAGCCACATTTCTGCAGAAGAACCAGAGGCCAGAGATGTGACCACGCACCAATTCCAATAAAAATGTGCCCAAAATAACTGTTACTAAGACTTGTATCCATTTTGTTTTCCACATAGCTCCAGCTGTAATCACATAGAAAACTGCTGTTTGCGTCACCCACTTGGATTTGATGTTGCTGAAGTTTTTGCCCAGTGACAGGTGTCTGATGGAGCGGTTCTTGGCCAGCCACACTAGCATGGTTGTCAGATCGATGTCCAGCCCTGAGCAGTGTGGCACAGAAATATGAATAAGACACAGTCAAAGTCAATGGAGCATCATCTAACACGATGAACACCTAAAATGTCCCCACCGTTGTCAGAAATGTCCAGACTGGAGATGTTGGGGATTTCAGCGATACAACCCTCCAGGATCTGGGAGCCTCCTGAACGCAACTGAGAGAAAGGAAGGTCAGTTTCTCAACAATATGGAGGTTAGTGATTAGTTTAGAGACCAGGCTAGAGTTGCTAACTGCAGCCCCCAAACATACTTTAAGCCTTCAGAGTGATTTATCACTGTTGTTTGAAAGCAGACAGCGTTTGTGTTGAAACAGTGTGCTGAGGCGTGTTAAGGTGCATCTGAGTGTTACCTCACAGCAGCTGAGGTCCAGAGACACGTCACTGAGGTTTGGGTTGCAGCCGAGCCCCAACAGCAAAGCCCTGCCAACAGAAAACCCACCGACTAGTCAGACGGTTAGTTTAACAGCTGATATTTTTGTATTTTACATACAGTATAATGAAAACGCCATCGAAAACTGCAGGAGGTATTTTGTAATGAAGGCTTGTAATTATGCTTCTTATCAACTCGTCGTCTCAACCTGCATGTATTAACATGTAACATACTTATACTGTAAAAAAAAAAAAAAAGCTTTTCCTGAATACCTTTGGATGGCTCAACCTATACTCGTATCTGTGTGCCGCGAAGTGTGATATGTGGCTAAACAAACTGGTTTTTAACTATCTTTATTCATTCATACTTAGTCCAAAACTAAAAAGTGAAGCATTCTTTGACACAGTCTGATCACATCACATTGTTTCTGTGGTTGTTCTTTGGACCAGAGGAGCTCACTGAACCATTGTCACCCGTCGTTCTACTGCTGTGTGTCTTGTTAACAATTTGATTTTGTGGGATGTTTTCTTACTTCAGAGCCTCCAGGGGCAGCCGGGTTCCTGACAGACTGACTGAGCTCAGAGCCTGAGCAGAGCTGAAGAACTGCTTGAAGGATGAAGGGATTTCTTTACACTTCCTGTATGAGCCCCAGGAGAGATGTGTTAATATGAACATAGTGAGAACACAGACTATAACCAGGGTTTAACTGACTGCAGACAAACACTACAGTCACTAAACAGCATCACTTATTTTTACTGTCAGGGTGAGCTGAAGAGATAATTTCACTTTATCCACAGCTGCTTCCTCTTATTATCCTGGAATAGTGTCTGTCATATTACTGTAGATAATGTTTATGAGTTCACTTATCAGAGAGTCAACTTCTTGCCTGTGAGAGAAGACATTCTTGGACATGTTGAGGACAGAAAGATGCTTCACAGATCCTCTGAGCAAAGACGCACACACCTAGACAACACAGAACTGAACCTTGGCAAAAGAGGTTGAAACTGCACAAAACATGGACTCTCTTGTGTAGGCCACGGTCATGAGGAATGTAAACATGACTTATTCCAAACAAAGTTCATAGTTTAGACACAAAACCTGATTTACTCTCCAGTTTGTATGCGTGTTTGGCTGATTTTTACCTGTTCCAGAGAGCAGTCGCTGCTGGACAGATCCAGGGTCTCCAGACAGTTAGAGTGACTCAGGAAGCTGTGCAGGTGCTGTGAAGGAAACAAACACATTGCTGCTGGTGACATCCTGTAGTCCTAGAAATGTGTCCAACATTTTCTGAGAAGCTGTAATAAACTGTGGATTTGAGTTGAGACAAGGAGAAGAGGAGCTTGCGCACCGGTAGGTCGTCGCCTCTGAGCGAGTTTCCCGACAGGTCGAGGTGTGTGAGAGTGGAGGCGATGACCGGGTTGGCACAGAGAGCCTGACAGAGGTTGTTCACACCTGCAGAAAATAAACATACCTCCTGAAAAAGAATTCAGGACAATAATGAACCATTACTCTGTTTTTTCTGTGTGTTCACCTTTAGGATACATGGAGGTCTTGGAGAGGTTCAGGTGCTTCAGGCCCATGGGCAGTTTGGCGAGCTGAGCGCTCAAGGCGGCAGCACCTGGAGACAGCAGAAACACAACCAGTCACTGTCCAGACCTACAGAGCCGGGGATCTCCAACGTGGCCACTAGAGGGCGCACTTGACCTGTGAGAGTTCACAGCATCAGGGTCTCTGCATGTTTCAAAATGCCACGGTTTAAACCACTACAGATCATTTTTATGCAAATCATTCAACAAGAACTGAGTAGTACAGTAGGAACAACTGCAACAGGTTGTCAGTGGTGATAATATCCCACCTCAGTAAAGAGGATATGAATAAGAATTGAGCGTTTTGCATAATGGAGAAGAAATGAAAAATAATAAAAGATCAATCTAATGGGATGAATCACGAAGATCTATTTTAAAACACCTAGCTGAGCCACAGATGCACGCCAGACCTGGTCTACACAATGAAAGCAGTGTGTTTGCACATGTGCATGTGTTTTCACCTTTGTCCTCTAGTGAGTTGTTGCTCAGGTTGAGTGTGTGTAGCGTGGAGGCGGGGTTTTGCAACAGAGCGCTGGCCAGTTTCTGAGCAAAATCACTGAAACAAAATATCAGTTCAGTGAGCAGGGTTACTGTCTGTATGTGTCAAACGTGATCACCTCTCATCACACATGATCTATAAGCTAACAAATCTCAATTTAATATGCAGTAAGAGTCAGATGAAGACAAAAACATTCGTTTATCTTGGAAAATTCAACAAGGAGGATTTACTATCTGCACACATACAAAACACTGAGGACACATCAGCTCTGTTACTTGACCTCTGACCTTCTGAGCCCAGCGTTGTCCAGCACCAGCTCCTCCAGGCGGCCGGATCGAGCCACCACTCTCAGGATCTGGTCGCACACGTCTGCCGACTAGAGGGCACAGACACATACCGGTCTTTTGCCTTTTTATTACATCTCAGTCACATTATCGAGAAGCAAACACAGTTTAATATATTTTGTATTTTATGTGATCTTTGTTTAGTGGCAGAGGTCACAGTTCACTCAACAATGAAATGTTACATGAGGCAGGCAGATGTGCCACCGTCTGTCTCAGCGGTGCACTGGGATTTTAGGTTAAAACTGAACTGCATGATGGTACCAGTTTGTAGTCTTTAGCGGAGAGTTTGGTGAACCACTGGTTGTACTCTAGAGCTGCAATGATCGCCACCAGATCCCTGCAGGAAAAATAAAAGTACAGATACGTCGGCCATTGTGGTCTTTGGAGAGGAGAACAAACTTTATTTATGTTGCTTTTTTCAGAAACAGTGTGTGATGTCCCAAACAAATAACAACAACAGTGATAAAATGTGTTCTTTTGTTAAAACCAGCAGATCAAATCCTTTTTCATTTTCTCACCTTCTTCTCGGCCAAAAGCTTGAAATTCACAGTCAAAGTCAGGCACACAATACACGATGGTGCTGGGTTTGTGTATGTACCTGTTCTCCAGGTGAATAAAGTCCTGCAGGTTGAGCTCTCTGGTGTCCTGAGTGAGATAGATGGTGTCCACGTCCTGGAGGAGACAACGCGTCAGGTGAGAGACAGACAAATGCAAAAATATGGAAGCGGCTTTATGGTGCTGAACTCGGGTACAACACAAAGTGAAACGCAGCACTGGCAGAATTGAAAAGACGACAGCGGAAACACAAACGTTCGACAGATGCGGCATCAGCAGAGAAGAGGAGGGAGTAGAAGAAAAACAGAAGAAAGGAGGACAAAATGAAGTAACTTAATCAGGTGGGGAAGCAACAGAAGCTCAAACTATAAAACTAATATTAAGCAAAAAAGAAAATACAACTTGTGTAGAAAAGGCAGACAGTGATTCCAGTAGAGAGCACCGACCCACTGGACCTCCTCCCTGTACGGCAGACCCAGGTAATCACACACACACCAGTACTGATGGGAGAAACCCCCTGAAATGAAGAGTCACAGCCTTTAATCTCTTAAATCCAGACACTGTGAACATCTGGCTGGATATATAGTCAACATCTGGAGGCTGACTTACCACAGGGCCCCAGGTCGGCCGATCCCTGGTCGTCCCAGGTGGCCCGGAGAGCCGCCGTCCTCTCGGGAGGCTTCAAACTCAGCTTCCTCATCACCTTCCTTCCTTAGAAAGAATGAGGGAGGAACAGAGAAACAGAGACAGGGAAATATTCATTTCAAGACTTGATCAAGATCTTAACAGCATCTTTAATCTCAGGAAGTGAAACTTGATGGATGATTTCTTCTCTCACATGACGATTAACCAAGAACACAATGGGGAGATTTAACCGATCAAGGAATGAGCGCCAACACCTCATCAAAAGAAACACCACACCAGAATTATACTGCTGTGTTTAGTTTTCTTCATGAAATTATTTTTCAACCTGCAAAGTGTGCTACATGCTTTCAGTTCCAACTGTTCATGAATTCAGCCCTTTACAGTAGAGCCACTCCTCTCAAATTGTATTATTGCCTCGTTGTCATATTAAACAGCTTGTGTAACTTTATACATTTAACAGTGTCAATTCTGCAATGCATCAAATCTCATCATCTTGAAGAATTTAATTAAATAAACAAAGCTTTAAATTTAATACACAATTAAAAGCTCCTTAGTAACTCCTTAAACAGCTGATGTAAAACATTTGTATTTTCCTTTCTTCACAGCTTCACAGCCACTGATGTGCTCCTTGTCTTTTCCCGTCAGGCTCAAGCTGTTGGCTGTGTGGTACCTACACAGGTGAGGCAGCGGGGCAGATGCGTTGCAGACAGCTGCCAATGTGCGCGATCACCTCATCCGCTTCCTCCACTGAGCCCAGCCGGAGGCTCCACGGACCGCGCTCATGCTCCAACACCAACTGCAGGGGGCGACACGCGCAAAGCAAAATGAAACAGTTTTCACGAAAGGAGGTTCAATGTAGCATTTAGAGAGGATGCCTGGCCATCTGCACATTTTAACAGATTTAATGTTCCTCCGTATGCTTCCTGATGCACAGACGGTGTTGAAGCATGGCTGTGGGAAGTGTGTGTGTGTGTGTGTGTGTGTGTGTGTGTACCTGAGTGGGCTTGCTGCTGCTGATTCCCTGAATATCCAGGTAGCTGAAGGACTGTTCAACCTGATCAAGAGAACCGATGATGAAACAGTAAATTTATGAAGTCAATCTTGGAGCTTTACATCTTTATGGCATTACAGGGACATGTTGAATTATGGAAAACACTCTCCATTGTGTGAGCAATTCCCAGGATAAAGCCTGAACTGGTGGACTAGGAGCACTTCCCTGACTGAGGCTGAGGGTGTGTAAAACCTTCATGAACTGGGTGAAGACAGATGAAGTGAGCAGACTGGGTTTTACTGTATGATGTTTATATTTCATAACAGACATTTAGGTGAGCTGTCAACAACTTGAAAGATTTGCTTTGCAAAACTAGCCCCACACAAGAATATGGATTACTCGCTGGTCTTTCCATCGTCAGTTCACAAATCAATGTATAGAGAAAAAGGAAGACGCAGGTGAAATAGAAACATATGCAACATCTGGATTCATGCCCACAAAGCACCAGCTCAGAACTACAACTGAAAACAGATGGGGCAAAAGGCCACAGGTACCCACTGAGCCGGGCCTTACGGACCTCACTGATGCTCCTGTGGCTAAATGGGAACAAATCTGGTGCAAAGTCAGAAGCTAGCACCAGCATTAGTGCCTTTGCTAAACAAGCACAACTATGAGCCAGCAAGCTCCAACTTGTTTGCAGTTCTGCAGTAGATACAAGAGAGATGACTGTGTCACAATAACCTGCAGACTGTTCACTTCAGTGATCGACGTTACAAAAGTCACATGATCAACAGCGAATGCTTCTCCACGATGACAAGAGGCTGTGACAAAGTATGTACAGCTGCCTGTGGAGTCTGAATCCTCCTGTTAAATTGATCAGTGGAACTACAAACAGGGCCAAACGGGAGGAAAACCCTGAACAAATGAGTGGTCTCCTCCAGGATGAGAGTTTAGTTTGTCGCTTGTCTGTAGATACTGATATGAAACTGGGCGTATTTACTATAAGGAGCAGGAAAAGAAATAAATCCATGGACGACTGGAATGTAAAAGCAAAAGCTACAAAAGTGACAAATAGTCTGCAGAACAAATGTCTGGAACAGAGTCACAACCTCACACACATTTCCCTTTGAGCCCAGGGAGAGGAAAAGTAAAAATAATAGTGGAGTCTTAACTTGCTGCCAAAGAGAGAGAGAGGGAGGGGGGAGGTACAGTAGCCAGAGAGGGAGCTACGACACAATTTAAAGAGACAACATAGGAGGGGGATAAATAAAGAGAGAGGTGAGAATTGGGGGGGCTGGACTGATGGACAGGATGTTGTGGAAAATATGGACGGTGATTCACAGTGACAGAGAAATGAAGAGTGAGAGAATGAAACAGAAAGAGAAGAAGAGAAAGTGAGAGAGGGCGAGGGGCATAGAGAAACAGTGCCCCCTCCCCTCCTTTCCTTGCCAGCTGTTGAATTCCACCATTGTCTTTTTTTTCCTCTCTGCTGAGATAGTGCACGCTCAGGAACAAACCCACCCTCTCTCTCGCTCTCACACACACACACACACACACACACACACACACACACACACGGCTGCAAAAACAGATCAGAGGTCAGCTGGCACAGGGACAGCAATGGATTCTATTCAGACGTTATCCAAGTTTCATGTGCACTGCCAGTCAGAAGCTTGGACACACTTTCCCACTAAGCTGAACCAAACCTCTAGCTGAACCTGTGGAGGACTGAAACCAAAACAAAGCCATTTGATTTCTGTAGAACGGAGAGATTAGTCCACAAACTACAAGGATGTGTTTCTAAATAAACTTTGATAGATCTGGTACAATATGTGGTGAGATTTGATCCAAAAGATATTTAGGTGTGTAAAAGTCATTCCCATTTTAATTTTCAATAATTTACGAGGAACTGAAGCTGTGGATGGTCTACGTGGATCTCACAGAAACAGGCAGATACACTTTCTGTCATGCACACTGTGGGATATGAGTCCTATTGAATCAGAGCTGTCGGGTATCAGAACCCGATCAAGGAGCTGTACAAAGAACGTGTAGGTTTTATTGAACATGTAACTACAGCCTCCAGAAGAGGATGAAGGATCTGGGGCAACAGCCACCAACACCAGATAAGAGCGAGTGGGTGATATTTAATATTTAATTTTTACTTTGATCCGCTGAACCAGCAGAGGAGCGGCCTTTGGTGCTGTTCCAGTGTAAACAGGAGCAGCTTGGAAATCCCTGGAGTGTTTCCTGCACGCCTGCATGAATTCGCAGTGAGTTGTTTCTTTAAGCCTTCTGAGAACTACTAAGTCTTAACCATAGAAGAAGAGATTCTCTGACATTACCAGCATGGCATCACAGATGCATAAAGTATTGCTTACTGTAGGTTTAAGCTGACAGTGGAAACCTGCAGGACTGTCCTGAGGGGTCGACACTCAGCCAGACTTCCTCACATCCAGACTTAGTTTCAGTGTGAGTAGTTTCACTCAGCATCAGAGTTTTGTTTACAAGTTGTCTGGTCTGATTCACACGCTCATCAGTAAGAAGCCAAAAATGCCTGAGGGGTTACCAGAGGACAATAAAAACAGAGGCTTGAAAAAAGGAAACATCTGTGATTTCAGAACTGTGTTTAACCACTGGTTCACTTCTCGTTTAAATGATCGAAAGACTCTGAGGACTCACATTTTCTAAGCTAATTAAAGAAGCGTCAGGCTCCAGTCTGAATGTGAAATGGTTTCTATGGCTTATTATCTGAGGTTCTGGTAAGAGTTTGGTCCTCTTTAAATCCAGAGTCCAGTCTAGAAATGTGTTCCCATCAACAGTTGGCTGAGGCCCATATTTTGTCTTCACATCCTCAGTCTCCCTTGTGTTTTCCTCTCTGTCCCTCTTTCTTGCCCTCCAGGTTGAATTTCTCTTCCTTGCACTGTTTTCCTTTCCACAGTCTGTACTCTCACAGCTGCATTGTGGGTAAAACTGCTAAATGTCTCAAAACAGTAGGACTTGTTTTCAACTGGGATGAGAGACATAAAGGAGAGCAGGAACGAGGGGAAAGAGAGACCAACGTTAAGTCAGATAAACAGAGAGCCGGGGGGTACCGCACAACAGCAGAAGTAAGAAATCCAAGATACGAAGGCAAAGTGAGGATTGACCTACGATGTGCTTTCTTCAACAGACCACAAGGTCGATCACAGATTCACTGAAGCTGTGTTCCACTTGGCCGTGCCGGCACAGTGCATGTGAAGTAGTGTCGTTAAAATGAACAGACTCCGTGTCCAACCGGCACAAACGGCACTCTGCTGATTGGGTGCTGAATGCCAAGTTGCCTAAAATAAACATTTGACAAGACAATTCTTTGAACTTGGCATTTTAAACTATTTGTTAAAAGTGAAATTGGAGATTAGATGAATAAACTTTGTTTTATCATTGCAAGCAGTCTTTTTGTATCAACACAGCCAGTATAAGTAACATGGTTATCATGTCAACTTTAAGGATTTTGGTGTCTGCACAAGTAAGATCAGTGAACATCACATTTTACAGATTAACTGTAAAAGAATTAGCAGGTTTCTGGTCAGAGTGGCTGCTGACAGAACTAATAAGGGACCAGGATTAATCAAGCCTGGCTGTTAGCCTGCTCTGGAGCGGAATAGCTACACAGGATAAGTCTTCATAGCAACTTAGTTTATCTTAATTTAACCTGCTTTCATGCAACTGAGTCAGGGCCAAATTCAGATGGGATAACGGCAAAATTCCAGCTTAATCCCTTAATCTTGGTTTTGTGCAATACCCGCCAGGAAGGAAGAAACACAGACACAGCATTAAAGTGTGATAATAAGGTGCAACATGAGGGGTACACGCTGAGACTGGACATTGTGAGAGAGCAGGTTAAAAGCCTAAATATGTTCAAATAAAGAGTGAACTACCATAAAACACTCCAAGCGCTGAATATGAGTCAAACTACCCCACCAAGTGTACTAGCTTGGGCAAACCTTAGTCAAACAAAGAGAGAAAATCCAGCGGCCAACTGTTTTAACACATTACTGAACCTGTGATCATTTTAAAGGTTTCAATTGTCAGGAAAACGGGGCTTGAGGCTCGGTGCCTCAGTCACAATGTACTGAGACACAGGCGGTGAAAACCATGATTCTGACATCCCTATACTTTAACAGGCAAAAGGCAGGATCCTGATTAATGAAAGACAGCCTGTAAAAGTAATGAGAGTTTAAGAAGGTGATTAACTGATCACACCAGTTGAAGCTTCTCTTTAACTACTAATGAATTCTGTTGCACTTCATATCACAGATGAAGTACTTTCTAACAGGGACTACAGCCAAACTATAAGCAAGTACAGCGTGCACTGAACCAACATGCACAATGACACAGCCAGCATGTTAATGTTCAGCAAGTGCAATGTTTACTATCATAGTTTAGCGTATTGCATGCTACCATTTGCTAATTAGTCACCTGCAGACATTTTGTTAATAAAACAATTCAAAAATAACTTTGAAAGGATGAAGGTGCGAGACAAAAAGTCAGACAATCACCAGTGTTATTACAATTAGTCCTGAGGAGGCATGAGGGTCTGAGCCAGATGTCGGCAACGCATCCAACAGCTGTTGAGACACACACACACACACACACACACACAGATCTACTAACCTTGGATGGGACCCGTGCTGTCAGGAGGTAGGCTCGATGCAGTGCCAAGGCCTGAAGTCAGAGACAGAGACCAGTCAGACACTCAGTAATAAACACCAGCAGTTTATCACCACTGCTGAGAGGAAGATTAACTGAATTCAGACCTTCTGAGTGGTTTACAGGGCTGGATGTTGTTTGAAATATTAATATGCCTCACAGGAGAGCATTGTACATACACACTGAGAGTCACATTCCCCGTGTGTCCAACACACCTGGCCAGTACAGCCAACTCCAATGAATATCCGCATTTTGGTACCAACACCAAAACACTGGTGTCCTCGAGACTTCCCTTGACAACGTCACACTCCTTTTTCTACAAAACATCCCTCACTGAAACACAGTAGGTTCTTCTAAAAACAAGCAGCTATACAGGAGCAATTAAAAGACTTAAGATTAGAAGAAAATCTATGAAAAATAAAGTTAAATGAATGGAAATCTGCTCATTTTCCCTCCAAATATGACCAGATCAGATGGTCCCTTCTGTGTGTTTTCACTTGCAGAAAGCCTGGCAGTGGCCTGGGCCTGTGAAGAGTGTTCTTCACTCACTGGGATAGTGACATGTTCTATCTTTGACCACATATTGAACTCCTGTCCTAGCAGAGAGCAACTCCACTCACTCAGTCACTGCCAGTTGTGCTTTTAACTAACGAAAATTAGAAACCAGCGTGTGAGATGTTTGTAGAGTTACGGTTTGAAATGATGCGAGTTAAATGGGCCTTGTTACCAGATTTTCACTGCAACCCGTTTACAAAAGAAAGAGCGAGCGAGTGAGCGAGCGAGGTGGAGGGAAGGCACGGCGCAGCTGACAGGAGGCAGCCGTGGCATGCACAACAACTGCTTTCACAGAGGAGAGGGGTCACTCCAGGTCACATCTGGTCAACGTCAGAGGAGTCAGCCTGCGTGGTGTGATATCAACCTGCCTGATGGGACTGAAGGACCTGTTTCCATCTTTACTTTAGAAAGATCCCAGTTCAGGCGTTTGGCAGACGTGAGCGCAGGTTGATGTGCAGATGAGCTCATGAGTAGACAGACTAGGTAACAGGAAACCGACGGGTAAGAGCGACAAATCAGGAAAATCACGACACACTGTCTGAGTGAGGTCAAACCTGCACATTTTATTGATTCATACAATGCAACACTGTATACCACATGGTGTAGAGTTACAGGGATGCAGTGCCTGTTACGTCTCTGTTATGTCTCCCATCTACTTTTCACAAGGCTGCATTTCAGGTTTATGCTTTGGTCATTTTTGTCATTAACCAAAGCCACTTAATCCAAGTGTAGACCAAGGGGACGGGGCTAAAGCTTGATTTTTGCCTTGAATCTATGCAGAGCCTTCAGTGCCTACAGAGAAGATTTGATGCAAAAGCTTTAGAAAGAAAACTGTGACCCTGCAGCTAAATGCAGCATCGTGAATGACTTTTGAATCCAAACAATCGCTACCACAAAAATACTTTATGAAAAAAATCTGTGCTATTTGCACATGTAGAGTATGCTGTGATGCTCTGGTCATGCTTGTTAGTAAATGACCAGGGAAACAAGAAACAAGAAGTATGAGAAAGGGCAAAATCATAAAGATATTAAACCAGTGTCTGTGTGCAAACCTGTGCAACCATCACTGCTTCTGAAAAGTCCCAGCAGAACACTGCACTACACCGTCACGGATCAGCTTAGAAAATAATCAGCTGGTGAATCAATAAGGAAATTACAGTTTGCCAGACAGGGAGGCGGCCTGTGCGCATGCTGTGCACGGCGCTGGTCAACTACTGACACGCCCAGTACACACCATCTAATGCAGTTTCCTTATTTATTCTGCACCAACCTGACACTCAGGTGCAGTGGTCTACTACCAGAATGATGGCTAACACAGCCACGTCAGCATCCCTCATCCTTTTAAAGGTTTCAGCTCAGTTAGTCTTTGAGTTCGGCTCGGAGTCGCTCGCTCCTCTTTCCAGACTGCCTTCCTCCAGATTCACTGCTTTATTTTCCTTCTATACTTGACTTTGATTTACACATATAAATACAACTCTGCCCGACACAGTAAAATTTACTGTGTTTAGCTTTATTTCTAGAAATTGTAGCACATCTTTCTGATCTGATTGCAGTCTGCAGCTATGGAATGTGGTGTGTGTACGCCCCCGGAGTGTGTGTGGCTGCTTTAGTCACTTCCCAACAGGACCTGCAGTCAGATGCTGCAGAGCCGCGGTATGTGGTCGCGACTGAGAAATGTGTTTAAAAATGTCTGTAATGTCACTGTGTGGGCTGCGGGGCCAGGGTGGTGCAACCAGAAGCCTTTCTATGGAAGGTTCACACAGACACAGCTGAGATGAATTTACACACATGCAGTTACATGAAACCAGATATTTTATAGGATCAAAACTTGCAGCACCATGGAGAGGCAGCTTATCAGTCAACATTTACCCAAGACCTCCTAATTTAGCAGCGCAGGTCTTACTCTATATGTTTATGTCTTCAGTGGTTCCTAAACAAGCAGCAGCATCAGAACTGAAGCCGACAGGTTCACTGTGAACACTTCTGTCCAGGAACTGTTTTGAACTTGTGCACCTCACCTGTTATACAGGCTTACCCTTGAGGTACATGGAGGGTGAGCTGGAACCAAACACCGAGGCAGACTGGTCTGCAGTCTGTCACAGTCCCAAATTCACCTGCGTCTCTCTGGACCCACAGAGTGTACTGTGGGCACCGGTAGAACATGAGACGATTCGAGCCCAGAGCACCATGACGCCACAGTGCTGACCACTGCTCCACTGTGGTGCCCAGGTACAGGAGGTCTTTCTGATAGTTTAGACTGCAGTGTGCTGCCAAGGCTGTGCCAACAGTTTGTGGCTTACTCCAGATCCAGGGTTAAGTTTGACCCAGCTACACACTGCACAGATCACGCTATAGGTACAATACCTGGTGTATGCAATGAAGGATCGTGTTGGGTACAAATTCTACTGGTTACCTTGAGTAAAGATGGAGGAGATAAATCACTGCTGCAGTGATAACTTTCCAGAGGATTAAACTATTGCCTGAGAGCAGTAAAAACTGCTGTGTAGTGTCTCTTACACCTTCAGCCCACACTTCCTGGTTCATACTTTTTCATACCTGTACCTGCAGCAACATGTTCACGCCAGCACAGCTCACTGGATGTTGCTGCCTTAAGAGCAGACTTTTCATTCATGTCATAAAATCGAGCAGCCGACCAACTTTATTCTGGAAGCTGGGTAGCGATATTTCAGGCCTGCTGTGATTTCAAAGCTTTTCTCAAAGGGAAACTGCTGGAATTCAAAAACCACACAAACCACACACGCCCCGTTTTTTCACCATCCATGGACTGAAGAGCAAACTGTACAGAAACAAAACCCGAGTCCATGTGTTCCAAATAAACACACTCAAGCACTGCCACTTACCAGCACTCTGCTCTCCACCTTGTCACCTTTGACCTCCAGCTGGACGATGCGCCTCAGGGTCAGCTTCACCCTCCGACCCACCGCCTCCCGCACACTCTCTACAGCAGACAAAAGGTTACATGACACCAGAGTTACGCCACAGCAGCTGGATGCATCAGATTACAGCATGTTGCACAATGGATGGAGAAGCTTAGGATGGGAGATTTGACTGCCTGAAGCCCCACTGCAGTCCTGCGTAGCATTGCGGCAGGCCTTTTTGAACATTTTAAAAATATGTCACTGAAAAGTCCTCTAGAGTGGGATGTTACTTGTGTAGATACTCTAGGACTGCTATTGCAGAGCACAACATGGTGCCGTCCTAAGTGCAGCAATAACATCAGTACGTGCACGGCTGTTGTATTGACTTTTATTTCTTCATAATGCGCCGCCGTCTCCATTTTTTTTTTTTTTTTTTAAGATGGTGGGTGTCTATCATAGGCTGAAACACTTCCTGTTGCTCAGGTTTTCTCTCTGTCAATCGGAACGTAATGAAGCAGAAGCCAGGTTGGGAGGGCACTACTCTGCCCCAACCCTGCACAGCCCATTTCTGAGACAACGAGAACACACTGTCGGTGTGGGTACGGTGCCCGGTGGCAGTGGAATGAAGGCATAAAAGAGACACAATCTAAATATAGGGTGAAAGTAAAGTTTTCATAGAGCAGCTCACATTTTACTGCCCCTCGTGATGTAAAACTCCTGAATCTTCCTGTATCTTCTTTAGCAGTGGTGGGAAAATGTGGGGACAGACAGAACGTAAAGGTGGGAGGGGAAGTGAGAGTCCTGAAGATTAAGTAACAGAAAGAGAGAAGGGAGGTAGAGAAACTGGAGACTTTGTGCTGCCTTCATCCTCCGTGTGCCCACACACAGGGTGAAGTCATGAAGATGATGAAAACATTACAGCATAGAGCAGCGCGGACTGACCAGAAACCCAGACTACTCCCTCTGTGCAGCTCACTCATATAGAAATAAGGAGTTCCCCATGAGTAATTAGTCCATAGTAATGACCTGCAATGTTTCATCTAAACAAATGCCTGTTCCTCTTTTCAGTCCTCCTGCTTTAACATACAAGTGTTAAAGCAGGAGCATGTGATTAATGCTGGGTATCAAACTTCAGTCTTTTATGGCATTCATCCTTTTACTTCAACATAATTAAGTATGAAAAAATACTTTTCTACATTTTTATTCAATGATATTAAAGTCAACAGAACTTGGTTGTGGTAAATAAGTTTACTTTTTATGTCGGTGGAGTGCACAAAGATGCCAAGGTATTGAAAAGTACAACTCCACACAGAGACGGACTGTGAGATTTGAACACAGAACCTTCTTGCTGTTAGGTGTCAATGCTAACCACTGCACCACAGTTGAAGCATGTCAGCTTAGGCTTTAGGGCTTGTGAGGGGTATTATACTATGTGGGATATCACTAGTCCTTGATATCTTATGGGTTAAACAGTAAATTAGTTGAAAAACTAAAGAATGACTGATGGAAAGAACCAACAGCTGTAGCTCCAGGATAAAGGCTAAAGATGTTAACTAAAACCCCAAAATATAAGCTAAGGTCTTTATCATGGCTGAATTTTAAAACGTGGTGATTAACTCTGCTTTGGCATTAGACTGGTCAGTGTCTCCACACCATGCCAAAGGCACACTACCTTATGTGACCATCCACACCTCTCACTACCAGCTCTGCCTCTGTGAACAACAAGAACAGCCACGATAGCCTCTCCTGCTCGCGATGAGCAGCATCAGGTCAGTCTGTCCTGTTGCAACAACAAGGCCCATTTCATCAGTGAGTCAGCAGCAAGAGGCTGGGCTGCACACAGGGTAACAGAGAGGACGGGGCTGAGAGTCAGCCTGTCCACTCAGCACCGAGTTTGCTTTAGATTTCTAATGACAGTCCAAAAATAACAAGACACTGGCCCTACATATCAGCCTCCACTGGCCAAACTCCTCCAACCAGCCTCCACTTCCCAGCAGAGCACACATGCAGCAGTCCTGTCAGTTCAAGCCCCTCTCTTCAGGAAAGCTGCAGTGATTTACTGTTTCTCCCCACTTTCTGTTTGACAGCCAGTCATCCAAGCAGCCTGTGGCGATAATATCTCACAATCCAACGGAATTTCACAGGACACACCCCAAAGGCTTTTCTCTCCCCTGCTTCAGATAAGGAAGTAACAGGAGAGACTCAGGTCGCCCGCCAGCCCCCTGGGGCACAAAAACACAGCTACTGACTGAAATGCAAGAAGGAAAACAGGAAAATGCTGGGTTTTTTTCCAGCAGTAAATACAGACTAAGTTCAGGAAAAAAAATCACTCCTATTCCTATAACAGTGAGGACATTATGTCTCTGTTATTCAGTAGCTTATTCATGTACAGTTTATCCGGGTAAATTTACCTTGTGTGGTGTCACCAGAACAATGATACAAGAAATTACAGTATACCTTTTTATCAGTGCTGAGGATGACTTTATGATGTGGTAACCTCAATTAAACCTGTATACTGTTCATTTTATAGTATGGAAATTAAACTGTAGCTCCTAAAAGCAGAGTCCTAAAGTAAAACGCAGTGATTTAGTGGGTTTGTAGTAACCTTACCATGCTTTTAAGTACTTCTATGTGTTACCTATGTGATGCGGTGAGGTAAAGGTTTCTATCAAGTTCTCAGTGATTTCGTCGTCTGTTCAGATTTTTAAAAAGTGCAACAAAAGGACACCAGAGACAGAAAACCAGAGTTTAACTAACTTTACAAACCCGGTTTGTTTACGATGAGAACAGCAGCACTACAGCCGGAGTGTGTTGGGTAAAGACCGTTTGTCACCTTAACTTACCGAACAGCTCGTTGTCCGTTTTTGCCTCCGACATTTCTTCTGCCGAGGTAAACAGCGTAGGAGTCCGGCAGCGAGCGCAGGAGCAGCGGGTGAACCCGAGAGGAAACCGGGCGGTGCTGCTCCAACCGAAGGACGAGGTGTCGTCCCGTTTTCCTCTGCTTACCTGTCGACACCCCGCCCACCTAACTCCTAGCGTGCGCGTCCATTCCTAATGCTGGGCACACACCCGCGCGCGCGCACACACACACAACACACACACACACACACAGTTTATGTTTCGTAGTCCATGGGGACA